GACTGTGTTTTCACATCATGGTGAACCCAGACCAGGCACAGGGCCACTATCAATGCTATTCTTTAAAACTGAATGGGGGTACAAGCCCTGATATGCCTTGCCTTCACCACCATGCTCTGCAGGCTCATGCTCCAGGGCCCTCCTTTGGAGTTGGAAGGAGCCTAGAGACATTCTTGGCTCCTGCATGGATGAGGCTCAGAGAGGGGAAGTGACTTAGAAATGTAGCCAATCACTCCCCCTTGGAGAGGTGCCCCATGGTGAGACTGGGCCCTGTGGCTTGAGGTGTGAGATCTCTTGGGAGGGAGACTACTATCTGGGAGAATGTGGATTCTGTCTAGGGCCCAGACTTGGAGAACAAAACCTGGATGCTACTGACCGTAGGTCCACAGCCTCACTGTGCTTGACCAGCACAGACAGCTTTGCAACGTACACGGCCAGGATGGACTGTGGATCAACAATGGCGCAGACCAGTATTCAAACTCCCTCAAGGGCTTGAATGAATTTGGAAATCACACCGGGGCCCTCTACATCCTTGCCACAGCCACTTTTCTGAAGGGGTCCTCTGTCCCCCTAGGATTAACCTCAAAGATCTCTGTGAGAGGGAGCAAGAGTGTCCTGGATAGAAGGAGCAGAGGACAATGGGGCAGGGTAAGAGAATCTCCTTGTTATGATTTAGATGTGGTGCCCCCCCCCCAAAAAAAAGCTCACGTGTGAGACAATATAAAAAGGTTTGGAGGAGAAATGTTTGGGTTAGATCCTTAAACTAATCAGTGATTAATACCTGATGGGATTAACTGAGTGGTAACTGGGGGCAGATGGAGTGTGGCTAGAGGAGGTAGGTCATTGGGGCATGGTCATTGGGGTGTATATTTGTATGTGGCAAGTGGAGTCTCTCTTTGCTTTCTGATCATCATGTGAGCTGCTTCCCTCCATCACTCTCTTCCACCATGACATTCAGCCTCACCTTGAACCCCAAGAAATGGAGTCTGCTGTCTGTGGATTGAGACCTCTGAAACCATGAGCCCCTAAGTAAACTTTTCCTTCTCTACAATTGTTCTGGTTGGGCCTTTTAGTCACAGTGGCAAAATAGTTGACTAAAACAGGGAAGGGCTTTGGGAAAGGACATTCAGGAACAGAGAAACTCAAGGCTGGGCCTCATTCATTCATTCATTCGTTTGTTTGCTCATTCATTCATTCATGCATTCTCCATATGAGCATTTCCGAAGCTCCAGGGACTGTGCTGGGTGTTGGAGAACAGTGGTGGGAAAGATAAGGGCAGCTTCGCGTGCACAACTCGGGAGCCACCTGCTCTTCCAGTGGACTATGAAGTGAATGGCGCCCCTGGAGGTGTTCAGTGCACAAGCTGCTCCACCCAGTGACTTGAGGACAACATGGTCCTTGTCCTCATGAGTGGGACAAATATCAGTAGAGTAAATTATGGGCATTCAGTCGATTCACCTTGAGCCTAAGTATGTGTGGAGACCACCCAGGTGAAGCAGGACTGTGGATAGGCAAGGAACATTCTCAGCAGAGGAAGTAACATCCACCAAGGTATGGGGAAGGCCCAGAGGCAAAGCACAGCTGGACGGTTCAGGGAACGGCCATAGGAATGGCTGGGACTCTGATGTGGGGTTGGGTCTGTGACGGGGGAGTCTGCAGAAGCCTTTGTACTGCACACAACGGGAAGCCACCGAGGGCTTTCACACCAGGGCACAGCATGGTTAGATTCAGCTACAATCTGGAGACGAGGTTGGAAGAGGCACCGCTGAAGCAGGGGAACCAGTGGGAGTTTTCCCAGGGGCACAGACAAGAACCCCTCCCCATCTCTCCTTATGTCACTAGGTTTTTCCTCCCTCTTGAGCATCTTCTTCATGCCAGGCACTGTTCTAGGACCTGGGGAATAATAATGAATAAGCCCCTTGCCCTGACTTCAAGGAGAAGTCAAGTCAACAGGAAATAAAAATCCAAAGCTGCAGAGCAGTGACAGAGAGCACCTCCATGTAATGGGTGTCCTGGGCAGCCTTGGGAGGGTTGGGAGGCTGCCAGAGAGGAGGAAGAAGTACCTAGGTGATTCCTAAGGCAAGGAGGACAAATGCGGGAGTGTTGACGGGAGCAGGAACTTCAGAGATGGAAGTAAAGGGAACAGCATGAAAAGCCCCAAGGAGATATATGAGGTTGCTAAGATCCAGAGAAGTTAAGCTGCTTGCCCAACGTCACACAGCTCATTGGCAGAAAGGGAGAGAGAGAAAGAAAGAGAGAAAAGTAGAGACCAGTCTCTTGTAAATATGTGCTGTTCTCAATCACCTTTCCCTTGCCTTTGATACCCTTTTGGCCCTTTTCCCTCGCCCTCAGACTATGCATGGTCTAGAAAGATAGACAAGCCAGGGGACATGAGCTGTTCCTCAAGGCTGGACTCACTTGGCAAGAGGTCCTGTGTTATATCCTCTGCCAGTCCTCACCTTTCCTGACCTCATCCTACCAACTTGACATGCAAAACCATCAGTTAGAATTATACCTATTATCAAAAAGTCTATAATACTAATCAGAATTCTTCACAATTCTCTATAGCCACTCAGTCAGTCAAAATTCAATGAGTCTCCTCCCAAGCCAAAGCACAAGTATTCTTTGGGATTATGAGCTGGATACCCCTTAAGTGGAACAGCAATATCTTTGCAAGGAGCAGGTAAGAGCATGTTTTTTTCTTTCTTGGTACCCTGTCCACTTCTTGCTTTGTATAGCATGGTTATTTAAAAACAAGACTCACTGAATGAGATGTTATTATGTCTAAGATGCTCTGCTAGATGCAAAGGGAAGGGTACAAAAATGAATGCAAGGTAGTTTGTGTCCTCAAGGAGACCAGACAGTGGTGTGGAACTGCATGGACTCTCATCTGGGCCAAGTGACTCCCAGGTCACACTGTCATGTTCCTGATGGATCATCTAATAATAATAATTAAAAAATCATTACTGGGTATTCTATAGTTTAATTGCTAAATAAGTTAAGACCTTCCCTTCCTAAAGCTATCACAGTACCACGATGAATGGAATGATGAAAAACACATCTAGTCACTTTTTCACACGCCAGTACTTCCGTATTTAAAACTTGTTTTCTTTTCTCTTTAGAATTTCTTCATTTGATCCCAACTCATTCTGCTCTCCTTCTTCAGGAAACTCAGGATTCTCATTTCACCTTTAAATTCAGCCCTCAGAACAAAGCACAGGGTGCAGACAAGGCCCTGGCCAGTAACCCTGAGGCTGGGGCCTTATTTGCCCTCCTGTGAAGGATGCTGAAGGTGGGTGCGCTGTGTTGGCAGCTGCTCCACTTACTTCTGGTGCACCCTGAGCTCACAGTAGACTGAAACCCTAAAGCCTTTCTCCCAGAACCTGGCCTGCCCACCTATTTACTAGTGCTACAGCCTTTTCTAAGTTACAAGCAAAACTTTAGATTTCTTCCTATTTAATTTGAATTTTTTCATTTAAATATCCTTCTGATAAGATATTTTTTAAAAAAATCTTAGATTCTATGATCAAGATGCTAGCTGTTCTCCTTCAGCTTTATGCCATTAGAAAGTTTGGAAAGTTTGGGAAATGTAACTTTCATGCCTTTGTTCAGTTCTTTGTCAAAATGATTGACTTGGACAGGACCAAGGACAGCACTCACTTAGCTCCACTGGAATTGGCACTGATAGAAAACCAGTGTGTGTGTGTGTGTGTGTGTGTGTGTGTGTGTGAGAGAGAGAGAGAGAGAGAGAGAGAGAGAGAGTTAGTTAGTTCTGGTTGAGAACAACACATATGATTACATTGTCACTTAATCCATCTAGTCCTTTCTGGTTCACATAAATATCATGGGAGATTCTGTTAAAACACTTCACTGAAAGCCAGATGCACTGATACAGCTGGCCCCTAATCCAAGATAATGGCCTGAATCGATGCCAAAAGAAAGAAAAGAGGTTAATTTGGCTTGACCCAGTCCTATAACTTTACTACTTGCTTCCTTTCCTAAGATTCACCTTGTCCACTGGATTAAAGAATGATTCTTTAGATCCTACACATTCCAGAGCCAGTGGGGATCTTAGAGGTGATTCAAAGTCTAGTTCCCAATTTTGCTGATGAGGAAACCAGTCCCAGAGTGCTTAACTATCATCCCCAAAATCACAGGTTAGCAGAGGAACAACAAGGATTGAATCGCATTTCTGTCTCCAAGTTCAAAGCTATTGCTTAAGAACATCACATAATCATGTCTTTCTCTAAGCATGTGCGCACGCACGCACAAGCACACACACACACACACACACACACACATACACACACACCCTGTGCTTTGTTCTGAGGGCTGAATTTTAAGACCTTCCTTCCGGTCCCTTAATTGTCCACTAAAGCACACAACGGCATCATCTTTGTTTTAGGTTCAGTGGGACCCCATGTCTGACCACTTTTCCCTCCTGCTTTGCAGAACAGCAGATGAAGGCCAAGAACTCCTCCATGGGATTTGTTCTCCAACAGGGGATCTCTGGACTCCCTGAACTGGGTTAACCTTGGGAATCCTCTGTCTACCTAGAACAGGACACTGGCTCACACCTCATCTGCTCCTGTGTGCCTGGGCATTGGGCTTGCCCTGGGTGGACATGGAAGCTGGGCTCTGTCTTGTAAGTAGAGTGGAGGGGAGGACTTTTTCAGTGAACAGTTGGTTCCTTGACTAGGGGCCTGTGGGACAGTTTAGGCTTCCTGCACATTATGGAGGGGACAGAGTCCCTGCATAGACTGCCTAAGGACAGCCCTGTGGTGTAAAGGACCCGGATGGGAGTTGGGCAGTGGCCTGTGGTTCATTCCCTGAGGAACTGACTCCAGGGAAGGGCAGATTAGGTGGCTCAATGCAGAAGAACAGGGCAAGAGGGTGAGCCTCAGGTGGGCCCAGAGCGGGAGGTCCCTGGTACCCTGGACAGCCCCCAAAGGCAGGGCCCCTTCACCACCCTCCCCGCCCCCCTGGGAGGCCCTGGGTACCTGTTTATTCTTTAGGTCAAGGGAGAGTTCGTAATCCGAGGCGGCAGGGGCGTGGGAACAGAGCGCTGTCAGGGCAGGCTGCTGCTGGCCGGGGGAGGCCACGCGGTGGGGGCCGGCCCTCGGGGAGGCACCCCCCGCCCCCGGCCGCTCCTCCTCCTCCTGCAGCTCCTGGGCTTGAGCCTTCGGGGCATGGGCACTGGGTCTGCCGGCTGCCACCGCCGCCGCTGCCACCACGGAGTCCTCCATGCCCCCACCAGCCTGGGCGCAGGAGCCATCGCTGTGAACAAAAGGCAACGGGTGCTCGGTTGGGGGAGAGGGGGACAGGCATGTGGCCTGACTTTTCTGGCAACTGGGCCTTTCCAGGAGGGGGACCGCTGGGGGTGTCTTCTGCAGTCCCCTCTAGGGAGGGGCTATGATGGCAGGGAAGAACCCCAGGCAAGGGGGTGAACCTGAACTTGGGGAGGGTATCCCAGATAGAGAAAAGGATCAACAGTGGCCAGAGTCCATGACGCTCTGCTTAAAACCAGAAGCAGGGAGGTTAAGAATGACTGTCTTCAGATCTGGAATCTGCCTCTTCTCAGCTATGTGTTTCTGATTTAACATCGGTGACTTAACTTCCATAACCTCTTGTTTCCCCCATCTATAAAATGGGCAGAATAATGGTACCTAAAGGGGAATTTGGATGGCTAAAGTTAGTTAAAATTCTTAAAACTGCCTGGCTCATGGTCACTACTATATATAAGTGTTAACTACTTATCAGTGCTTTGGCTCCAGGGCCATTAGCTTAGGAAGCTGGAGGGAGTGAATTTGCACAGAAGCAGTGTCATCTTTAGCCCAAACGAGTTTGGGGCAATGAGAGATACAGAAAGGCCTGGCTTGGATGTAAGCCTCTCTAGAGTGGGTGGGCTCTGGTTTTGGGAGCTGGGTCTTTGAGGAAGAGGAATCTTGTCCTGCTGGGCTGAGGGAGGCATCTGTTCTCTCCTGGCCCCTCTTCTCTTCAAGGAGCCACTAGCAGGCTGAGCATGGCTGCTGCCCTCCTGCTTACCTAAGAAGATAGCTCTTTGACAGAAGCAGCCACACTGCAGCATACTCTGGGGAGCTAGTGAACTCAGGTTGCTTTTCTCCCCCAACAATCTCCAGTTAGCCCCTCCCTCAAGACCCAAAACCAAACCACCTTCTCCAGGAGCCTACCCAGGTGACTGCGGCTTTCACTGCCCTGCCTTCTAGAAGAACACTAGATAGGACCTGTCCTTAGAGAGTTGCTGCCTATTTCTTGGAGGAGGAGCAGCATCATGCTTACCAGCAGGGGCTCAAATCCAAGCTCAACAACTGTGTGGCTTTGGGTAGGCTGTTTTGCCTCTGATCCTTGGTTTCCTCATCTGTGTAATGGATGTACTAATGCCTACCTTGTGGGGTTGTAGTGAGGAAATAGGAGTCCATATATGTAAGGTGCTCAGCATAGAGTATATGCTCAATAAATAAACTACCTTTCCCCTTTCTATCCCTTCTTAGAAGCCAGGGCCTGATTTTATTTGATTCTCATCTCCCCAGTGAGTGTTGGACAAACACTGAGTACTCAATCAATACTTGTTGATGAGTGAATTAAAAAGAACCTAAGGGTCCTGGGAGTGGCCTCTACATAGACAGGGATAGAGGTCAGGACTGGAAGGGGACTTAGGGTCATCTAATGCAGCCTGGCAACACTTCCTCTTTTACAGAGGAGAAGCGGGGGCCCAAGGAGGTGGGGCACTTTGGCACAGAGAAATGGGCAACTTCAGGACTTATTTCTTCTGAAATTTTGCCTTCATGGAAGTTTCTCCAAATCATCTCAGAAGAAGGACTTCTTCCTCTTGGGGTGCACAGAGATGTGCTAGAATAACCAGGAGTGGGATGAAAAATGCTCTCTTTACCTGATCTCCATCTGTCTTCCTACACTCCCCCCCGAACCCTCACAGCTGGAGGATGGCTTATGGGCTGACCTTGGCAATAGGGAACCCTTGTTGCTACTGCAGAGTTCTTTGCTCCACCATTTCTCGTGTGGCTATCAGTCAAGCTGCATGGTTGGATGTAGGTCTGGGCATCTTTGATATGTTTTTTTTTTTTTTTTTTCCATTAGCATCACCGGAATTTTTTTTTTAAGATCTAACTTCAACTCCTCTTGCTGTAGCACATGCCCTTTCTTCCCTCAGAGAACACGAAAATGGTCCTTTTCCACCATGAGCACAACTTGCTCCAGGGCCTGGAGGAGCACTCTGCCTCACCATCTCTTCTCCAGCCTGTTCTCAGCACAGACACCCAAGGCTTCTTCACTCCAGAAGGTTTCCAAGACTCTTTAGGGAACTAGTGGCTACTCAGGGCCACAAATATCTATAATAATAGCCCTTTTCTTGCTTTGATTGCTGGAATATGCCTGGCAACAGATTCTAGGTAATTGATGCCCCTCAATGGCTGCACTCAGCTAATGACAATGAAGGGTGGGGGGTAAACGCCATAGCACCCTTGTCCTTTGGGTGGGGTAACTGTGAGGCAGATTCTGCACCATTTTCCGACTGATCCCTGGCTGCCCAAAGCAGTGACTGGATCATTTACAAAGACCACATTGGCTTCATTCTCTTCTATATCTTGTTTTCCCACTCTCCTATGGGTACTTCCTGGGATCACCTTGTCCCAAATAAATTATTTGCATTAAAACAAATAAACTTTTAGAAATAACAGAGGCCCTTGGCATGAGCCTCTGTTTGTGGCTGCCCCTCAGGATATAGACAAAGGCTACAAGGCCTTCTTCCTTGAGTTCATTCACAAGGCCTGGGAGTGAGGCTGTGCAGAGCCAACTCAGGCATGCACACATGCACACACCGTGTACAGAGGCCAGTCCACCAGAGCCCGCCAGTCCACCAGAGCCCACCAGCCCCAGGGATCCAGGTTCTCTGGCTAAGAACACATTCCACCTTTGTCTGCTTATGCACAGGGACCCAACAGGCTGGAACCTTCCAGATGTATAATGAAAGTGTTGGAAAGGGGATCTTGTCCTTGCCTTCCTGCCCTAGACTTCCCTATAGGCTGTTTGGTAGAAGGAGGCAATGGAAACCTGGAGAGCCCTCACCAATATGGCAAAGTCTCAGGTTATATAGTAGAGGACAAAAGACGTGAGTTTTGTGTCAGGAAACGGTTAAAAGTGCTCTGCTACTTACTATGTGATGTTGGGCAAGTTACCTGTCTTCCTTGTGGCTTTATTTCCTCATCTGCAAAATGGATATCCTAATAAGAATTTTGCAAGTTTGCCAATGGGAACAGATAAGGCATGCACAGCCCCTAGGACTGTGCCTGGCACTCAGAAGTCCTTAATAAATGGTGACAGTGGTGGTGGCTGCTTTCTTTTTGAGCTAGACTCCTACATATATAGTCTCAAAGAAATCCCCAGAAAAATAACATGGAGGGCTGGGGATATGGCTCAAGCAGTAGCGTGCTCGCCTGGCATGCGTACGGCCCGGGTTCGATCCTCAGCATCACATACAAACAAAGATGTTGTGTCTGCCAAAAACAAAAAAATAAATATTAAAAAAAAATTCTTTCTCTCTCTCAAAAAAATAATAATAATATGGAGGGTTCTCCACACTTGGCCTTCCTGTCAACCTCCACAAAACTGAAACATGGGTTTTCCATCATAGTTCAGGGCCTTTTCCAGCCCTCCAGATGACCCACTGGAGCAGCAACACGGTGAAGAGATTTTAGATGGCACCAGCTCATGGAATCCATGGCCTCTGAGGAATCTCTATGTGCTAAGCACCTGCAAGGGCAGGCGCATTAGCTATGCCCACCACAATGTGGGGCACTTCCTGGATGGGCATTTGTCCAGTGCCCATAGTGTAGACCAGTGCTTTGGTCACTTTGTCAGGGAACAGAAGAGGCCTGAGTGCTCAGAGCATCAGTAGAATGTTGGTAGCTGAGGATCACTAGAATGTTCTTGGCTGTTTTGGACTCTGCACTCCATGTTTACAGATAGTCTGAGGAAAGGTTGGAATCTTCATCCTAGGCTATTACAGAAGGATGGATCATCTATTTCTTAGGGACCATCTTCTTCAATCCACAGAATCCAGAACATCTTTCCTTCCAAGACATAGTCTCTTCAGCTTCTAGAAGTTGCTGAGTTGAGCCCACACATAAGCAGCTGCCATCGCTAGGGGGTTAGATTTTTAGGACAAGAATCCTGTAGATGCGGTTCATTCATTCTTTCATTCCGTGACATGAATATCTTCTTTTTTATTCTTTTCAGTTGGACATCTAAATTTATTAAAACTTAGATGTAGCAGAGACTACTAAAATGCTAAATTGTACAGTAATTATAAAAGGGACATATTACATGATTTGTCAATGAAGTTCTAGTGTGTGTGTGTGTGTGTGTATTTTTTTTTTTTTTTTTTGGTACTGGGAATTGAACTCAGGGACACCCAACCACTGAGGCACATCTTCAGCCCTATTTTGTATTTTATTTAGAGACAGGGTCTCACTGAGTTGCTTAGTACCTCCCCATTGCTGAGGCTGGCTTTGAACTTGCGATCTTCCTGCCTCAGCCTCCTGAGCCTCTGGGATTACAGGCGTGTACCACAATGCCCGGCTATATTTTCCTCCTTTGGAACATGTATACTTGGAAAGTAGTAGAGAAACAGGAGGAGGAAGGAGGGAAGGGAAAGAGGAAGTACTGGGGACTGAAGTGAAGCACATTATATTCTATGCATGTATGATTATGTCAAAGTGAACTCCAATAGTGTATATAACTATAATGCACTAATAAAAACATTTAAAAGAGACTGAAGACACATAAGTCTGTCACAGAGTATTCACTTGTAAAGAAAAGAGTTCTCACCGCAGGCCTGGGACTGCTATCCTTGGAAAGCCCTTCTTAAAAGGTCAGTCTTTGGCATCTGGAAACTTGGATTTTGGGAATGTTACCATCATTCCCTCAATGATGAAGATGGCTCGCTGCCTAAACTGTTGCACAAATGGTTTATGTAAATGCCTGCTTTCCTTCTGGGAATCTAGAACTTGGGTACCTACTAGGCAGAGGGCATCTATAGGACCAGCTTCCATGAAAAATCCCTGGGCACTATGCTCCCAATGAGCCTCCCTGGGAGACAACACTTCACATTTCTCACAATTCGATGCTGGAAGAACTGAATGACTCCACTGGGAGAAGGCTCTGGGCAGCTTGGTCTGACTTCATTGCATTGCACCTTTGGCCTTCCTCCAGGCTTCATTCCATGTGCCTTTCCCCTTTGC